CGCTCTTCCACCAGAGTGGCTATTGCTTTTGTTTTATTTTCAGAATTCACACATAATTCAGAAGAAGAAAGCTCAAAACATAACAAAATATCTTGTACAAGTTCTCTCAAGAATTCTGTGACAAAAAGTAGTCAGCTTCTACTACATTACTAGTCTTACTTCAGGCTCAATTTTTAAACATCCAGGGGTGTATTTTCTGTATGGCCATTACCTGTGCGTCTTTGTGATTCAGATCTGGAAACCACACAGATAATGAACTACCGCACAGCCTGTAAAGTTGTATGTAGAGTATGAAAATTTCTGCTAATCATCTTTTGGTCATTTGACATACACCAAATCTCCAATGTATTTGACAAGAAATGCCTATTCCAAGGCTGAATAAATCACACCACCACGTGACAACTCTATTTTGTGCAGACTAATTCTGAAAGCTTTAGGCAGAATCTGAATGTGAAGATGGCGTCAAACCTCTTCTGCAATGACTTTGCAGCCTCTTTATAGCCTATTTACTTACCTACTCGGCCATAGCATCCAGAAGGAAGTGCAATTTGAATGTCTGTTTTCACTACAGCCTTTTCCATGGGTGGTATCACACAGTCATAGGCACTAAATTAAAGAAAGAAGCACTAGTTATTATATAATATTTGAGGGGTTTTTTCTTTAACTTAAGGTAAAAAATTACTTTGAATTACTCTTGCTGGGAATTTACACCACCGAACTTATACAAGAAATATTTACAGATTCTTCTTGTTTAAGGTAAGCATAAAGCTTATTGGCCTTGATTTTTAAACATGGGGAAGCATGTTTTTTTGTGAACCTGACTTTTTCCAAGTGTACACTACACCACTGAAAGAGAACAACAACAAACCTCTTAAGACAAAAGGAATACAAAATGTCAAGTGTGCTGAAACAAAGCTTCAGGTAGAAAGCTGGACAGGGGAATGAAGTCAGGCGAAGGAAGAAATTTTAATACTTAAAAAGGGAAAGTAGAGGAGGTCAGAGTGGAGTTCGGATATAACTACTGATCGCATTTGGCGACAATCTTAGCTGCAATCTTAGCTGCAGATATTCCTGAACATAGTGAAAACCTTTGGACAATGGTTATGATCAGGTCAAGCAAACCAGAACTGAAGTCTGCAGCAGACCACACGGTTTCCAGCTAAAAGCGTGATCAAACTGCCCCACCTCCCTTTGACAGGCAGCACCCAACAGCCAAGAGCGAAGGAGAAAACCGTAAAAGCAGGGAGGGCCTTCATGCATCTGCCACTTTTTATTACTTTTTTTTCAATAGGAAGGCACGCAGTCAGTGCTGATGCCGATGTGCCAGCCTGGCTTTTGGCCAACGGCTGCATCGCCACCTCACGACACTGGTGCTGCAGCACGACCGGACCACCGGCCCCTGGGAAGGAAGGGAGAAGGGAGCAGCAAGGGAGCTCAGAAAGCGGCCAGCTCTGGCCTCTTCTTGTGCAGGGCCGCTGAGCCTCTCGGGGGAGGGCT